AGAAAGTGTCACAAGAAAACTACATAGTATGTTCTTAAGTCACTTGTTTCTCTGTTTGACAAACTTTGCATCAAAGATAAATACTATCAAATAGATAGATTTGTCGAAAATGGGAAACTTTGTCATCGGAGTTTACACTTTGTCCATTAGCAAACCCATAATAACCCGTAATATTCTTATACAACATGATGACGAGAAAACGTCAGGCCATTTGGTATTAAATAAATATTATCTAAAATTTGCAATAGGTATAATTGTCTTCGGTTACAGTGTGATTTACGAAAGAATATAGCTGCTTGTGAGCTTTGTTCAAAAGGAATAGTGACAACATTATCAAGTGCGCACCCATAAAAGTGGTACAGTCTTGCCATCCTTTATAGAAGATAGGACATACACTTTAGATGAGTTACCAATTACAAAGAATGGTAACAAACACGTCCTTGTGGTTGCAGACTAATATATTTAATGGAAATATTGGCATTGCAAAACATGTGATTGTTCATTAATTATAATAGTCTACAACAACCAGGATGTTTGTTACCATTCTTTCTAACTGCATGAATACCGAGTTTACCAAACGAAGTGGGACAAGAAAGTATCCGATGTGTTCAAAATATTTTCAAGGAATTGGTGAGTTCACCATGAATGTTGTGCAATGTGCTATGAATGTAACGATAAGAGACAGTCATGTGAAGAGAGCCGTGCCTTTGGGACAAAAGATCCTAATCTAATGAGAACATTACAGCTTGTGCCAGTGGTCAAAGTACATTTACAGGCACAGTAAATAACCCGGACTCTCTGATATCATGGTTGGGTGTGTTTTATGTAAGAAACATCTTCATTGCTTCCAAGAAAATGTCCATCAAATGACGATGCTAAACAATTGATTGAGAGTAAGAAAACTATGATGGACATTGACACCCAAACTGAGTTTTGTGAAGAGATTTCAGATAAAACAGTAAAGAGATTAAGAAAGAGTACATTGGAAAAAAAAACTTGTGTGGAGAAAATTATTTTATATTAAAAGAGTACAAAATCATTCGCCACACGATAGAGTAAACCAAAGTGTGGTTGTGTTTTGGGTTTTATTTTTCATCACAAAATTTGTAATGCGGAGGGTATATAGTAATCGGTATGTCTGTCCGTCCGTCTGTAACGCTTTGGGGTCACCATCTCTTATCCGCAACTCCTCTCATACCACTGAATGAAATTTGATGAAACTTTCATAAAATCTTTATAACATTTCGCCATTGTGCACCTCCTATTTTACTTTTCATTCGACACATATTTCAGATTTCCCACAGCAAAACATGGACACTATCATTATATTCATTTGGGAGGGGGGGGTATAATTTCTCACATTTTCTCACGCCCATTGCTCACAGTGCCTCTAGTTTAATAAATAGCTGCTTAGTTAAATACGTTTTTGAAATTTCTCTTTGTAAAATTATTTATATTAATATCAGTATATAATGTACATGATGGACATTCAAGGACATTAATACACAAACATATAATTTACTTGAAAGTACAGTCAAACTTGTTTTAAGAGGCCGCCTTTGGGAAGTCTGGAAACTGGCCACTTAAGACAGGTGGCCTCTTATTCCAGTTTGCCCTCGCAAAGGACATTTGGTCAATAAATAAACAGCATTAAGCACTACAGTTTAATTAATTAATCATAATTAAACAGTTCAATTTCACATAAGCTTTTTATGTGTATATATAATAATCAAAGCTTAAAGAGAATGTTAAAGAATTCGAAATGTTTAAGGTTTTGTGCATGTTTCTGTTCCTACATATTAGTTAAACATCTTGCATTCATAAGTGTGCTTTTGTTACATTGAATTATTAAAAAAAATTCTTTTAATTTTCATTTGAAGAAATACATACAGTGCTTGAATATTATCCTTTTTATAAAGAAAAAATACACAAAAATACAGTTTAATGGTTTATAAAATAAATCATAGGAATTAAAGTAAAAATATGTCAATAAAATTTTCACTTACATATGTTAAAAAGATAGTCAGCAGTGTAACCCCCCCCCCCCCTCAACTTAATCATTTGGTAATTAACTTACTTCCTGAAGTTTATAAAGTCTGATTAATTTTATTGTTTACAAAGCTGTCAGAATTTCTATATAACATACACAGATGCACAAATAAAATTAACCAGTTGACCAGAGATATGTATTTACGCAGTTGAAAATCATTCCATAACACAGGTGTCAAATCCAGTAGAGCGTGACTAATCCCTATCGATCCTCTCTTGATAGTGAAATTCACGAGATAATCATGCCATATGAAGCACTTTGTTTTTACAAGAGTAGCAATTAGGGCTTCTACATGGAATCAAAATCTAAAAGGTGTGAATTTCTTTAGCTAGAGGAAAGTATCAATTGTACATGTTGTACGGTAATAAAATTCTTTTAATTTATCAATCGGCGATCTTCAAAAATAATTACAAATTGAACTAACAGGACAAATATTTTTTTTTCATAAACACAAACAGAGCAGCGTATCTAAAAGCAATTTCTTTAATTGCATTAATAGCTTAAATTGACTATCGAGGATATAATTACCCAAGCCAACACGTTTAAAAGATGTGATAGAATCGAAACAAGTGACGAAATGGCCGCCTATTACATATAACATAATTCTTATTGAATGCTAGTAATTTTTGCGTCGTTAATCTCTGAATATATACTTTATCCTTGCTTAAAATGAACGAGGCTATATCTTTTTTTTAATACCCCGAAACATAAAGCCTTTATTACCTATACTGAACAGAACATTTGCAGAAATTTCAATGGTATATAGATTTGATTTAGACTGTTGCTAAATTAGTCATGGAACGCGGAAGTTTATCACAGAAAATACAGCGAAAAACAAATAGTGAAAAGCTCTTTTCTATTTGAAATATGGGCTTTGAAAGATTTTTTTAATTTAAAAAATCTGCCTCTTATATTAAGTTTTCTTCTTGAAATCTTCGTGTCATGATCTATTGAAATAGGGAGAGGGCTAAAATAGGCTTTGCCTGCTGCCCAATCCCATTCACTGATGTGAATAAAATTTTGTATTAACTCTACTCACGTTAGAATAAAAAACAACACAAACATACAATGCCTGACAGCCAGCCGTGATTGCTGGACGCCCGTAATTTATTAGTTTTACATACATGTACATGTATTACATACAAATGTATTTTGTAATGCAGAAAAACATGACGCTATCTGTCCTTTTCTTTACATGACAGCATAATGCTTAAAATTCTTAATACCCCCTTTACATAGCATCAGGGCCGGCCAGGAAAAAACTAGAGATAAAACGATGAAAATCGATTTTAAAAAACTCTAGAAAACCTGTGTCCGTTGCCAGGTGCCGCTGGATGCAGGAGGAGTTGTGAACGGACCTCGCAACTTTATTACCATATATGAATAAACTAACATTATATAACAATAATTTGATATCGACATGTAATAATAATAATAAAAAAAAATTCTAAAATTTCGTCTAACTCGTGCCGCACGGCGGCTAGAAGTGAATACCTGAATTACATTTCGAAAACTTGTTCTCTACGCTTGATAGCTATTGCCTACTATTGGAACCTTCCATTATAATGCACTGTGCTGTCAATACAATATTTTCCCGCTATTACTGCCGAACCGCGGGAAAATATAAGTATTAACTCTACTCACATTAGAGTAAAAACACAACACAAACATACAATGCCTGACAGCCAGCCGTGATTGCTCTAGAAAAACACAAAGAAAGGGGTGTATAGACAACTGTGAATAATATTAATAAAGGATGTATTCGCTTTGACAAAAGAATTGACCTATAAGAGAGAACAATTTCCCGGAAAAAGTGACATTGAATAATTAATCTTTATTTGTTGTTTTCTACCGTATATATGTCTAAATTTTTCAAATTTGTATTTTATACCTAAAATTTATTATTTACAACTTTACAATAAACCTCCAAAGTTGGCTTTAACACCATTTTGTCCCATAAAGCGTTGATTTTTGCATGAATTTTGGCCTAGAAGTCCTTCAGGGCAGGTCTGCCCCTAAATAAAATTGTGATATTTTGATAGGTTTGGATGTAAGGATTAATTTATGATAGGATTTTTTTAGGGGCACCCCTGCCCTAGGGTCGAAATTCACAAAAAACCTACAAAAAAATAAGGAAACCTGATTTTGATAATCTGTTTCAAATTTATACAGGTAAGTGTTATAGTCTGACTAGCTCAGTTGATATATGCGCAGACTATTACACCGTGCATACTAACATTTTAAAGTCGGGGGTTCGAATCCACCTGGTACCACACTTTTAAAGTGTTAAATTTTCGCCTTTTCAATGACTATTTTAATATTTTTTATAGCCTTTTGTTTTTTCCTTCAATTATATATCCTTTATGCATGCCCATTCTTGATATAAGAAACACAAAAGATATATCAAATCGTAAAAATCCAATGTACAGTTGTCAGTCAGGCGGAGCAAACCTCTGTATAAGCACACTTTCTCCGAGGACAAGAATAACTCACTCTGTGTTACTCAATACAGGTACTCTTGGCAGCATTGAGCTGCGGTGAATGTCAATTGTATATATTCCTTAGAATTTAATAACAGTGATTTTGGCTACATACATACATATCAGTAACTGTACTCCTCGGATTTGATTTAAGCCTATATAATTTGCACACATTAATGGAATTTTAACTACATTCACGGATAAAATTGCCTAAACATAAAGAATAGAATTTCAGAGGCAGCAAACATTACCATTATGCTTATTGAGAAGTTAAGACAAATATCAATTATTACATTTTGAGATAACAAACTCAGGAAATCAATGAAAGGGTTCCTCCTACCTCTACTCGCTGAAAAAAAAGATTTACAGCCTAATGCCATTAATCAGAACGGAAATCGACAAGGTTTTTGTAGAGAAAAAACCAAGCCCGGTCCTATAGGTCAAATCCCTATTTATAACGAAGTGATCCTTTATAATTCCAATGACCTTGAGACCATAAGCCTTTTTTCCAAAGAATCTACAATGTAACCATCTTTAGCACTATCACTTCTCCATCTACCGTGCTTTTTCAAACATCTCTCATCCACATTTGAATTAGCTGCCACAGTTGCCCCACCTGCCCTTAAAGAATGAATTCCTATGTTAACATGTTCACCCATAACTGTTTTCAACAATGATAGAAGATAGCTTCTAGCTGCTGTGTAACTAAGTTTTTTGTTTTTATAAATTAATTTACAAACATCTTTTGACCTAAAAATTGGTCTAAATAAGAAAAAATTATTGTCATTAATTGGACCTAAAAGCTCTAGGTATTTCTTGTACATATTGACAGGACATGCAGACGTTGAACCCTTAGCAACAAGGACTTCGCTTACTTGTCTATACTGATCTGTTTTGGATTTTTTAATACAAAGCACAAGATATTCATCATGTACAATCACATCATTGAATGTTAAAGAAATAGCTTCGTCAAACCTAAGGAAACCAGCGAAACAAAATAAAATCATGGTAAGATTTCTGACAATTAGCAAATAATTTTCGTCAATGAATTTATCACAAAGTTCAATTAACACATCCTTGGTAATAGGCTCTTTTTTCTGCACAGCACGACTAGCTTTCCGTCTTGCAGCTTCTTGTAGAGATGAAACGTACGAATTCTTCGTTGGATCTGGTAAACCTGCACATTCATGAGCCCACTTAATCGCATACACGGCAACGTTCACAGGATGTTGAGATGACCCGTTCTGTAATAAATGCGTCAGGTATAATGCCACATGCATGGGACTCGCCGGCAACGCACTATGTCCTTGAACTTTAATGAAATTTTCCCATCTCTTAAAAGCGTTAAAGTAGGATTTGTTAGTGTTATTACTTTTACTTGACAAAATCCAGCTGCTTAAATATGGACACAGATCAGCCATATAACTTCCAGGTTCAACGCCATGTTTTTCTGCATTTCTTTTAATGCTGTCCCGGAGTCCTATTCCTGTAAAAATATGTCAACTGCATCATAATTTTATTTTCAAAAAAATCATGTTAAATAACAGATCTTTTTTCCCAAATATTCCATTATTTCCTCTCCCCCTGCAAATTGCATGAATATTTTGTATTTTCGAAAAAAATTTAACATAATATTTGAAATTGCCCTCCTTATCAATCAACATTGGCCAAAACGGAGCGGATTTCCACTCTGGAATTACCAAAGTACAATTGCATTTTTCACCCTCAAGTTTTCTTACCACTGAAGGAATTAATTTTGGAGGGGGTACAACCCAGTTCAAATGATCAGTCCACATCTGAGATAACGCATCAACAGCGCTTGATCCTGCACACCAATACTTAGAATTAAAATTCTCACACTTAATGTTATGAAGATCTGCAAATCTAGTGACTCTTGTCTGCTGCAACGAGAAACTCTAATCTGTCTAAATCTTTCTGAATTTCTAAACTCACCAATTCTGCTTCGTGTAATGTTGCAGCACCGCCCATACCATCATCTAAATACATGACAATTTTATGACCTGTTGACCTCCAAAACTTGACTACCTCTCTCATGACTTTAGAAAATATGTATCCCGCTGTACTAAGGCCAAATGACAGAACTTTGAAAACGTAATACTTGCTTTTCCATTTGAAACCCAAGTATTCCTCATCTAGTTCGTGCATCCTAATGTGATGATATGCACTTTTTAAATCAAATGAAAAAATAAAATCACCTGATTCGAATAAGCTTTTTGAAACAGAGGCATTCTCGTATTTATGCTTATTTTTGAATAAATGAGGATTGATGTGTCTTGCATCTAATACCAACCTTAGTTTTGTTTTGTTACCCGCTACCGTCAATGGATTTACAACCGTGGTTTATTGATACATTCCTCTATACAACCTTTATTGAGCAATTTTTCAATTTCTTTATCTACAAACTCACCGTTTTCTAACGCAGATCTATTGTTTTTAAGTTCCATGGGTTCTGGTGTGGTAAACAATGGCATTTTATAACCATTCTTAATAACATCCAAAATATACCTGTTTGCACCAATCAAACGCCACTGACCTATATTTTCCCGTAAATAGCCTACAGGTGAAATATTTACGACGCATGATTGCTTCTGGATTGTATTGTCATGATACTCAACGTCGTTTTTCTGCTTAATCAAATGATTATCTTGATAAACAAAAGTACTTATCTTATTATCATCTAGTTTTTCTTTGCAGTCTTTTCTCCAATGACCTCTCTTGTTACAGCGATAACAATGCTCAGGCTTCCATGTTGATTCACTAGGTGTTGTCTGTGTCGACACTGGCTTTGGGTAGGGCCTGGTAAATTCTCTCAGGTTTTTTTCGTTTCTTTGCCTTTTCCTCTTTTACTTTCCTCTCAGCTCGAGTCTGTGCTTTTGTGATTCTCTTCTCATCATCGGAATCTGATGCTATGGGATTCTTAACGTACTCGTCGACTGCCTTCCATCCCGCCTCTGCAGAATCTGCAAGTTTTATTATTTTTTGTCTGTGTTTTACAATGTCCACACCTTCTGCTATTTTACGTTGAGCGTCTCCGATATTGCGTTCCTCCAAATGTTCACTGGCCTCCTGCATTTTTGATAGGACTTTAACGTTGTGTTTGTGCTGCTCTTCGTTACCGCGTTTTTTGAATTTATATCCGTCTGACACGACTTGTTCAATTCTAGCCTCTTGTCTATCGGCAATAGCTTTCTGATTTTCATTTCATTTCATTGTTTTCTGCATCTCTGTAAGCCTATTGTCAAGAAGCTCCGAGAAACTGCTCAGCATTTCGTTATTCGACGCGCATACTGTATCATTTATCTGTCTTTGAACCGCTTGGGCGTCCATATCGTCTAACTCGTGCCGCACGGCAGCTAGAAGTGAATACCGGGAATTACATTTCGAAAACCTGTTCTCTACGCTTGATAGCTATTGGCTACTAATGGAACCTTCCATTATAATGCACTGTGCCGTCAATACAATACTATTACTGGCGAACCGCGGGAAAATATAAGTATAAATTAATTATTGAAATCTTTATGACCTTGTTTTAAAAAATCATATACAGGAAAATAACTTTGTAAAAGTCATACCGTATTTGTAATTTTCAATCGGAATGCTTTTAACGATTGACTATCATATCTTTTTATGCTAAATGCATGAATCCCATCTCGTTGATTTTATAATATTTATTTTGATAAATATGTTATACATACATGTACATGTATCATGTCGTGAAAATTTATATCCACATTTTCTTAAACTTAAAGTTTTGAAAAAATAGCAAAATATGAAAATAAAATTTACTGACGTGGAAAATAAGCAAGAACAGCAGAACGATCCGAAGGTAATCCATTGAATCCTCTCTGTGTTTGCTCTAGATCGAGTCTGGCGAATCACAATTAGGAAAGGCTTTTTTTCACGGGTTGCTACACATTAATATTTGTAACGAAATATCATACTATTCATGACTTATATCGAAAGCTAAAGGATTCAAATTCCTGGGCTGTAAATCCTCAAATATATAAATGTAAGTCTAAGTATATGGTAAATCCATCCTCACAATATCAAGGGTTTGTGATATCGGAACTCCACACTTATGTGGAGTTCGGTAATTACTAACCCTTGAGATTTGGAGGATAATTGTAAATCATAATACAGTGTCCGTTTGTAAGTCCGTCACAAAAAAATTTAACCTAGCTTGGTCATATCTTTTGAATGAGAAGAGATAGGCCTTTTATATTACACATTTATGTTCTCCTTCGTTTCACCCATCCGAACATAAAGTATTTCTATTCTAAGCATCTTAAGGTCGGTATATACACGATGAGATTTGTAGTATAATGCAAGTATTATAATACTTTCCTGTACTCACGCTAATACATATCTTATAAGATTGTAAATAAACTACGTATTCCAACGTGTTTTCCCCGCCATATTTCTCTATCAAAGTAATAAAAATGAAGGATGAGGCTCTGATAGCAGTGTCTATCATCGTACTATGCACTGTTTTATATATTCCACAAGTCCTTTTCCCCTTCCCATTAAGCCACGAGTTTTTCGATGTCTTTACTTGTAAAGTCCATCAATATTATTTACCATGTGCTTTTTTTAGTAATGATAAAAATAGGATGACCCCTAGTGTCATAACATTTCATTGGTTGAAAGTGATAGTTAAGCTAAGACTTGTATTAGAAAATAGAGCATTGCTATATTCTTAATACAATTTTATAAGATTCGAAAAATCTTATGATACACTGTATTAAGAGTGCATACACAGGAAGATTTTGTATTATAATACAAATCTTACCGTGTATACCGGCTTTTAGTGAATAAACAACAGAACACAGATATAGAATGTGATGAGCGCCTATCAACCAGTTTATTTGTACATAAAACACGCAAAATTATCAGAGATGCACTGGAAGCAGACCCCAAGAAGTAATTTCCACATTACAATCTACAAAATGCAATGTAAAATATTAAATATACATATCAAAATTATGCATCATTTAAAATAATATTTCCATTTCTTTGTATTCTCTTTGTTAAGGTCTGTCTGCCCTTACAATTTTCATGGTTAAAAGTACAAAAATTGAATTTGTTTTCATTTAATTAAGTTTAAATTTACCAATTATTTCCAAAAATGTATAGTCCGACATATTATTTAAGATGGGAGACATAGACAGAAGCATATGTCAACATAAAAAAATCGTACATTTTTTGTAAACAGCATCATGAATAAAATTGATTATCATGTAAAAACTGAGCCAAATGCATAAATGTGATGCTAAAAATTCCCAATACTTGCTACTTATAAAATACTTTTAAATTGTGAATATGAGGGAAACTATTTTTCGGTAGAAGTACAATAAAGAAAATGCCTGAATGAAGCTACATGAGTAGGTGTTATTGCCCTTGTCAACATTTTTTTAAGTATTGAATAATTGATTAAATAAAGGAAATACGCTTTTAGAAAATCATTTTTCCAAAATGTATTGTTCTATTGGGTATAAATTTAATTTATTTTTACAAAAACCTATGACATCACAGGAGGGTTGAATTTTCTTAACTCTTTGAAAAATAATCGAGTTAATTTTATGATAATTCTACTGGAATGTAAATTTCACCAAGCAAAAGATCTTTGTATGCATGCAAATGCCCTGGCATACCCAATAAACTAGTAAGTGATTCCTTGAATAAATCAAAAAAGCGTTTTCGGAACTGGTTGATTGCTCATCGATGATCACTTCACGCCTGACCAGCACCTTATGTATCGTGACCTAACAACTACTTTTCATTATGCTTGCGAATGCCGAAATAGTTCAAACAATACAACTAATAGAAATTCAAATTGATTTACGTTCTCCTTCGTTTCACTCATCCGAACATAAAATATTTCTATTCTAAGTATCTTAGTCAATAAACAACAGAAAACAAATATAGAATGTGATGAGCGCCTATCAACCAGTTCGACGACAAAGGTGCTGCATGCATTCAACTGAAAATGATCGAAGTATAGCTGTAAAACATTTTTTAAAGATATATAAAACACAGCAGTGAAGAGGAAACACATTATGATATTTTAGATAAAATTATGTTTGAATTTCGGCAGTAAAAACAATTATCGTTCGAAACTGGAATATATGTATTATATTACTTATGAACTATAGGTTTAATAAGTCACAAGACTGTAAGAAACCAATTATTTGATATAATATTATATGTCCATTAAATTTGGATGTATTCACTTTGACAAAATAATTGACCTATAGGAGAGAACAATTTCCCGGAAAAAGTGACATTCAAAAATTAATCTTTATTTGTTGTTTTCTAACGTATCTATGTCTAAATTTTTGAAATTTGTATTTTATACCTAAAATTTATTATTTACATCTTTACAATAAACCTCCAAAGTTGGCCGAAACACCATTTTGTCCGTTAAAGCGTTGATTTTTGCATGAATTTTGGCCTAGAAGTCCTTCAGGACAGGCCTGCCCCTAAATAAAATTGTGATATTTTGATAGGTTTGGATGTAAGGAATAATTTGAGATAGGATTTTTTTAGGGGCACCCCTGTCCTAGGGTCGAAATTCACAAAAAACGTACAAAAAAATAAGGAGACCTGATTTTGATAATCTGCTTCAAATTTATGTCCATTAATGTCATCATCAGACTAGCTCAGTTGGTATGTGCGCTGACTTTTACGCCGTTCAATCTATCATTTTAAAGTCGGGGGTTCGAATCTACCTAGTACCACACTTTTAAAGTTTTAAATTTTCGCCTTTTCAAAGACTATTTTAATATTTTTTTTATAGACTTGTATATTTTCCTTCGATTATCTGGTCCTTTATGCATGGCCATTCTTGATATAAGAAAAACTAAAGAGATGTAAAATCGTAAAAATCCAATGTACAGTTGTCAGTCAGGCGGAACGAACCTCAGTATTAGCACACTTTCTCCGAGGACAATAATAACTCACTCTGTGTTACTCAATACAGGTATTCTTGGCAGCATTGAGCTGCGATGAATGTCAATTGTATATATTCCTTAGAATTTAATAACATTGATTTTGGCTACATATCAGTAACTGTACTCCCTCGGATTTGATTTAGGCCTATATAGTTTGCACATATAATGGAATGTTTTGTTATATTCACGGATAAA